CATCAGGTACCTGATGCTTTGTTGGAAAGCGAAGGTTTTCATCTATCAATTGACGTATTATATTTCGTTGTTCTCTGTTCAGAAAGGTGTTGATTTCTCTTTCGGTACAAAACTTTGTTTCTGTTGAAGCTTTTACTGAGAGAGAAATTAACGTGCTTCAGATGTAATAATGACAGTCTAGAAACCCCATGAGTAAAAAAGTTGACATTTCCTGTTATAATATTAACTATTCACTAAATCATTCAGCCAATACGAATACTTTATTTTTCCCAACAAAAGTATTCGAATACAAGTACGAATACTCCCAAAGCTGTATTAGAATACATTCGAATACGAATACCCCATGTCTGCTACAGGGCAGGTAAGACAAGAAACATTTCTTTTTGTGGTTACAGGATTTGTTTCTGTAGGGTTGTCTGTTTTAGTCTTGATGAGTGTATTTGCCTCTACTTTTTAAACTCTTGTTCTATTGTGTTAAGTCAGAATGTAGTGGTATCTAAATGAGTCTCAGACATTTGCTGATCAAAGTAGATCAATCATGGCTCATGGCTATGTCCTTTGTGGCCACCAAAGAGAACAGAAGAGTTGTCACTGGTGGATAACTTTTGTCAGCAGGAGCTGTTTCGTCAGCAGATGAGTCATCAGATATACATTGGTGGAAAATGGTGATCCATGGGCAGCGTTAAGCTTCTTCATGCCAGAAGGTATGCTGCCAGGGTGATCACGATTCACAGAGAATCTTGGGGTGGTGTTGAGCCAATGGATTAGTTACCTCTGGTACCTCACTGTTTTGTTACATGAGGGCAGGGATCTAACACTCTTCAGCATATATGGGTCCAGCTTCATTCCCGCTCTATCACAAACTTGACGTTAAGCAGGTCTAAACCCAGTATTGCCACAAAGTTTGTGAGAGATAGTCTTATGCTGCCCTCACTTGTCCATGTGAAGAAGAGACTAAGCAGATTCCTCACCAAATGTTTATGGTACAGCCAAGGAAAACGTAGAGCACTTTCTTAAACACATTAGATAGGTTATTTTTTGGAATGAACACATTCAGGGACAAGTAGTGCAGTATATAATTGTAGATATGTATGACTCAGTGCTTGACTTGATCAAGTGTTTGAGTGAAGAAGAGTAGCATTGCAGCTGTAATTATTTGCTAAGATACTAGCAATGATTGCCTTAACTTGGCTGACTTACTATAAAAGTTAAGACAACCACTAATTATAAGATCAGTGACTGAAAGGACACTTCTTTCAGGTATCTGATGATGACAAAACCTTGTCGAAACGTTGTACATTTGCTGTTATGTTAAACTTATATTAAAGTTTTTCTTCATTACCCATTCAAGCCGTCTCCAGCCATTATTAGTCTCAAAATGGGTTCCTCGTCATCGAATCTGGAGAGTTTGCTGGTCATGGCAATCTTATAACGTCCTCCTGGTCGAAATAATTCTGTACAATCCATGCAATGTAAGCATTGTCTTTCTGGAATACAAAACTATTGACAAACCTTGCCCTAGCATATGGCAGAAATATCATCTCAATGTGATGCCTGTAGGAGGCGCCATTGACGCATGCCTATAAGATATGAAGAGCAGTTTTCCATCATGACGAATAGCTGCACAAATATGTACTGCATTATTTTCCCTCATCTCTTCTCCAAGCAAACGATGAACACGAATCCTACCATTAGCTTTAACATGCTGGAAAGAGGAAATATATGCTTTAAAAAGTAGCTTTAACGTGCTGTCTTACCCAAGTAACACAATGACAGTGGTGAATTTTGGTTAATATCGGTTTGCAGACAGTCTTTCTTTCAAAATAACCTTGCTTGGTCAGTCTCCCATTCACTGTTCTTTGGATACCCTGGAATGAACGTGTTCATGTCATTCTTGTCGTAAAGTGTTGGAAGATGTTTTAGACATCCACGTGTTAACCTGATCAAAACACGGTCATTTCAGGCAGTAGCTTTTTGTCGTCTACCAGTGGACTTTTCTGGAACAACGTTTCCTATAGTCTAATGACGTTTCAGGATTCTGGTTACAGTACATTGGGGCTACACCACTGTTCTGACAATGTTCGTTTGCTTCATACAATTTGTGGATAGTCGAACAATTTGATTTTCTATAACTTTTGGCACGTGACGAGTCATGATTCTACACCAAATACAGAGAAATTATCTTAATAAAGCATTACTGTTTCGTAAAAAATTATATAAAACGGGTACGTATGTGTGTTTTGACGAACAAATACTCAAAACAACTTATACATGTTTGTCCGATCATACGCTACCTGTCTGTTACTACTCGGGCATTTACTCAATAATCATACCATGCATGTAAACAATAACAACGTCAATATAGAACAGTATGCAAACATTTTAGCCAAGACTGTATTTTCAGTTTCATAAACATGACAGGTATTATTCAGTTGAGATGATCATTATCAATTTCTATATAGGAATCTTTTAGATGAGAAAGTTGAGTAATTCTGTTTAATAGATAACTATGGTGAGAGGAACTTAATAGTTCCTTTGACTGACGATCTATGTTAAGTCAACATTCACAGTTGATTAATCCTTTGACTGACGTTCTATGTTAAGTCAACATTCACAGTTGATTAATCCTTTGACTGACGATCTATGTTAAGTCAACATTCACAGTTGATTATTCCTTTGACTGACGTTCTATGTTAAGTCAACATTCATAGTTGATTAATCCTTTGACTAACGTTCTATGTTAAGTCAACATTCACAGTTGATTAATCCTTTGACTGACGTTCTGTGTTAAGTCAACATTCACATTTGGTTAATCCCTTGACTGACGTTCTATATTAAGTCAACATTCACAGTTGGTTAATAAAGTTTTGAATAAAGGTATATTAGATAACGAACTACATAAAAAACTATGACTACATATTGCAAATATTCTCTGTGCTTTACTTTGAGGCCAACTCTTCTGTCCCTATCTTTTAAACTTAACATTTAATTAACATGAGTCAAGAACTCCGTGTAATTTACTCTCACCTCTACAAATCATATGCAGTGTAGCACAGTAAACAAATAAAACATGAAATATAAGTTTACAAACCAAATCAACATTATGATTATAAAAATACAAACGAAACCCTTTAACACATAATATGAACATTAGATATAATTAGTCCTTCAATATATACAAAACGTACAATATGAACATTAGACATAATAAGTCCTTCAATATATATAAAACGTATAATATGAAATCCTTAATAAAGTTTTTTTTTTTTTATTGCAAAGCTAGACGAGAACTATCCGCGCTAGCTTTCCATAATTTAGCATTGAAACACTATAGGTAAGGCAGCTAGTATCATCAACTACTGCCAATTCTTGGGCTACTCTTTTACCAATGAATAATGGGGTTGACCATCACAATATAATGCTCCTATGGCTGAAAGGGCGAGCATGTTTGGTGGAACGAGGATTCGAATCCCCGACCCACAGATTGCAAGTCGAGCGCCCTTACTACCTGATCCATTCGTAACAGAAGTGTGGGGGTGGAGCGGATAATATAGTGAGACATGTCAGAAAACAAAATAAAACCGTTTAATATTAGATAAAACATAAAAAGTAAAACATACCTAAAATTACAAAGCGGAACGATATATCCTTATAAGATAGAAAAATGTTCAAAATAAATAAAATAAAATCCTTATACAAAATCAAAAAATGTTAAGACGAATCCCTTCACAAGTCAAAGTACAATACAAAATCAAACATACCTCTTTTAAAAAATGCATGAAAACAATACTTGCTTTAAATGAAAGCTACATAGTAAAACAACTTCCAGTATTATATAAGAAATACAAATAATTCAGGAAAAGGAACCCTTTGGTAATATTATAGAAGACAATATGCTCTTTGGTGTCAAATGCAAAAAAGCATAAAATAACCTTTTTACAAAATCTAAGGTGTAAAATACAATACAACACATACGCCAGTGAGAGACACTAGAACTTCTTACCTTTAATGACACCTCAACAGTAGATCCTCTGGTGTAGCAGATGACTTCTGCTGAGCCATGGTCATCTAGAATATGATTATTTTGGATCGCACAAGAGCCTTCCAAATGCATGCTAGATTGGTCTAGAATTGCTATACCTCTTTATCTAACTACAATGAAGGATCTTTATACTTCAGAAAATGATCTATTTTCCAGTCTATCTGGCTTCATGTTCCTATTATCGGTACCTTAATGTTATATCTAATGAGGCATAAGGGTTCTTTCATTTATGTCAGTGATGTTGTTACCAGTGATATGTTTATTGGCTGCACAGGTCCCTCTTAATGGGTATAGGAGTTATGATGGTCGATGCAGATACTTCCACGTTGATATTTAACACTGTGGGAGTTGTTACCATTGAGGTGTCAGCCATTGTATCCTTACTAGTTTCCTCTAATATAATTGAACCTTCCAAGCACTAGGATGAGCTTTGAAATGATCTGAGTTTCAGGAAGGTTCTCCTTGGATTTGAGATTATACTTCTTGTGCAGGTAGATCCTGATGGCATTTTTCTGTTTGGCATATATTGATGAAACACTTTAAAATTCAGGGATGATTGCCAGTGCATTTGGTTAACTTTGACGTTGTGGGGTTGGTGTAGGCTCTGGAGTGGTCTTCCTCAGCGGAACTGCTGCTTGACTGATCGTATGTTGTTGAAGATTGGTGGCATGAATTCTTCTTCAGTCATTGCTTGGTGGCCTAGGAAATTATATTATCTGGAGTTTTCAAGGCCAGTGAATCCATGGCTTTAGTCAGAACCTGCATGTATGACTAGCCAGCAAGCAACTAGTATTCATTAATTCGGGTGATCATCATATTAACTCCCAGACTCTTATGGATCTTTAAGTAATCGGAGAGATCAGGAAAATATTCGAACAGTAATTTTTACATATTTACTCTCCATCTTAGCAGTAGCTTTATGGGTTTTGATCAATAGCATCAATATGACAAAAAATAAATATCTTTAACAACTGATAACGCATCCAACATGATCAAGGCTTTCGGCTTACTTAGAGTTGAACTGCAAACACTACCCAGTGATAGAGATGGTGAGAGCTCATTTACAGATAGTGACTCAGAAGATGAACTTTCGAATGAATCTAAATCAGCAGACAATTTATCCGAATTTCTTCATGGACACGACTCCTGCTTTTCCCACAAGCAACAGCTTGTGGTAAGGGATGGCATGAAAAATGCTGGACCACTGCTGAAAGTAATTTCCAAAGCATCAGACATCGTGTCCAACATTCGAAAATCAACGCAAACAATTGATCTATTTGAAGGAGAGGCCAGATTTCAGTCGATAACATCAACACGATTGAACTAAGAAATTAAGATGATTAAGTCTTTATTGAAAATCACCCCAAGAGAAGTTGGATAATCTAGATACTGGTACATCGAAACTTACTTTTCATGATCGAACTGTGCTTGCAGATTTGGTGACAATACAGACACCTTTTGAAGAGGCAAGAGATTACAGACAGAGCCAGTACATTGTTACCTCCATTTATGTAGTGCCATGTGTTTATGAGCTGATGACTGAGATTGATAGCATGTAGTCCTTATATAATTTTAATTTTGGCTCTACGCTGAAGAAATATGTTTACACTCAACTGACTCAGTATGAGCAACGAAGTGTCTTCTGATTGGCTGTGGCATTGGATCCTAGATTTAAAATTGACTGGCGTTTCGCTAGACCTATGGATTATGAATCCAATCGAATGTTCCTGCAGCAAGAAGTCTAGAAAGTTTCCTCAACAAATAATCCTACAATCATGGAACTAAAAGATGACTGTAAATCCCCCACCTGCTAAAGAAGCTCTTTAGTTTCTTTGCTGCCACCAAAAAAACCAGCCACCTCATCTTAAGAAGATACAGAGAACATCACCTACGTGGATGATCTTTGTATTCCTGATGAAAGATCCATGAAAACAATTTCCTAACCTATCTCTATTAGACAAACGCTACCTGAGTGTTCCAGCATCCTCTTCTCCCGTTGAGCGTTTGTTTATCATTATGGGATACTACATGACAAAGTATTCATGAATGCATTCCTGTGTATTCGTATTCTTAATTTGAATATTTAACATTTTTCCTGTATTCGTTTTGGTATTCGTATGCATAAAAATATGAAGTATTTGTATTCGATTACTGATCTCTATTCGCCCCATCCCTGCCCTGTAGTATTCTTAGGTTCGTTGATTGCTATGTGAGTAATTACGTAGGAGCCACAGATTAATTGGAGGTTTGAAGGATCAAAATCTGAGTTCTCTTAACCTTGACAGATCGTGAAGCAAATAAAGAGAATAGACACATCTTTAAGCCCAATAAAACATGTTTACATCCAACAATAAGAAAGTTAAGAAGGAAAATAATGTTTATTGTGGACTTTAGGAACCCAGTATTGTTGGTTGTTATATTGAAACATTCGACAGTCCATACTAAGACCCAAGATTTTACGTATAGTCCACAATTGTTTCACCTTTATCTTTAGACGAAGCTGGGTCATTTATGCACGGTATCACATGCGCTTTCTAATGAGAAACATTGGTGTAAAGTAAGATACACTGTATAAAAAATAGACATTAATCTCACACTGTATGAAAAATAGACAGTAATCTCACACTGTATAGAAATAGACAGTAATCGTTTGCACTGTTTTAACATAAGGGTGATCGTCAGTCACATGGGTAGTATTTATGTCCTGAGAAGAATGACATTGTTGTTCTTGGCATATAATCTCATGTTTCTACCTCTGGGAGAGAATAATTTTTTACAATGATATATATATATGTTAACATTTGAAGACAACCCGAGCTCTCATTAAGATGCCACATTATACATTTCACCTCAAACTGTGATTTTGTGGGTCACTGAGTAACAGTTTCTATTTTTATAATGAAGTTATTGAAACGTATTTTTAAAAACACACAGAAATTAATTTGAAATGACGATAGATTTTAACATATACAAAGTGTTTTTCTTTTACAAAATAATCTATTCCTACAGGCGGCTCGGCATAGCCAGGTGGTTATGGCGCTCGACTCGCAATCTAAGGGTCGCGGGTTCGAATCCCCGTCCCACCAAACATGCTCGTCCTTTCAGCCGACGGTCAATCACACTATTCGTTGGATAGTGGATGAGTAGCCCAAGAGTTGGCGGTTGGTAGTGATGACTAGCTGCCTTTCCTCTAGTCTTACACTGCTAAATTAGAGACGGCTAGCGCAGATAGCCCTCGTGTAGCTTTGCGCGAAATTCAAAAAACAAACAAACTATTTCTATAGAACAAATTAAATGGTTATTACAATGTTTTAAATTTCAAATCATGGAGAAGTTGTTACAATTAAGCTTGAAGCGCTCTATCTTTCAATGTGTTCGATAAATTTTATCCAAATCTATTATAACATATTTTATCAATGTTTTTAAAAGATGTACATTAAGTTGAACTAGTTTTCTTTCGTGTCACTTTATTTTTCGTGGTTTATAAAGTATGAATATTTACCTGTATACAATGAGAGCTCCAAAAGCTAACACAAGCAACACGGTAAAGACTCCCAATAAAGCCGAGACGTACATCGAGGACGAGGCTTCGTATCCATCAAAATGAAGGGACAGAAGAGGAAAAAGAGAAACAGTTCGTGTTAGTACAGATCCATGCTGGACACCAACTGGATTTGAAATACTGGGTAACCAATTTTATTAATACATAAATCAAGGGAATCAAATGAATAAATTATTATTGTTATTTGTACGAATTTCGTTTTTTATTTTCATAATAAATTAATCTGTTTCATAATATAATATATATATAGGTATATGTATATACATGTATGTGTTTATGTGTGTGAATATATATATTTGTATATAGCTTTCAAGTTTTGACACTTTGCTAAAACATATTTTTATCAAGGAGTGTAGAAACGTGTTATCTGATTACATCAAACTGTATCATGACCATATCTTCTCGCTTTTTGCAATGGAAATAAATACTAAATGTTAGCATTAGCTCCTCCTGTGAACGGTCTGACATGTCCTGGTGGTTAGGGCACTCGACTGGCAATCTGTGAGTCGCGAATTAAAATCCTGTCACATAATATGTTTCCCTTTCAACTGAGAGAACGTTAGTAAGGAGTAGCTAGAGTTGGCGGAGGGTGTTGTTGTCTCGCTGCCTTCTACCACTGCTAAACTAGCCATCGAGTAGCTTTGGACGAAATTCAACAACCTAAGGAAGGCTCATTTTTAAAAAGTTGTAACTATTAAAAACATTGACAAAATAATAAGTAGCACAAAACGTAGTTTATTGTGGAGAACTAACTTAAAGCCAATGATTAAAGAACTAAATGGCTACAGTTGGACTGTATCACTATGATCGCTAGTTCCTATAAGAAGACCGAAGATACTTGTTAACGCCAATGATTAAAGAACTAAATGGCTACAGTTGGACTGCGATCATAGTGATACGGTCTTCTTATAGGAACTAGGGAGATACTTGTTAACGCCAGTGATTAAAGAACTAAATTGTTACAGTTGGACTGTATCACTATGATCGCTAGTTCCTATAAGAAGACCGAAGATACTTGTTAACGCCAGTGATTAAAGAACTAAATGGCTACAGTTGGACTGTATCACTATGATCGCTAGTTCCTATAAGAAGACCGAAGATACTTGTTAACGCCAGTGATTAAAGAACTAAATGGCTACAGTTGGACTGTATCACTATGATCGTTAGTTCCTATAAGAAGACCGAAGATACTTGTTAACGCCATTGATTAAAGAACTAACTGGCTACTTGTAAAAATTCTGTACAGAGCAGTATCGAGCAGTATTAACAGAACAGCAGAATTTAAGAAAGAAATACTAAACAAAACCAGCAAAGTTTACAGAAGCTTGAATAAAAAATTTAAAAATACAAATGGACGTAAAATCTCTATTCTAAATACATTTTATGTACATTAATATGAACATTAGAAATTTAAAACAATTTGTTACAAAAACAAAATTGACGACATTAATATTTGCACTTACATCACACCAATTAAATCTGTCCCATCGAATGTGATACAAAAACATCATCCCTCCATTTTTTCCAAAGTTAACCGAGTATTTTCTTATCAGTATATTTTAAAACTTTTAATTTGTCTATTTAGTAAGAACGTGCCCGAGACGTGTCTATATAGTAAGATTCGGTGTCTGTATCGAAACTGGACTCACCAACTTCTAAATGGTGTCAAGCGAATCGTCTCGGCCTCGAGGTTTCCACAAAGTAAAATTTTTAACCCACCCTTTAGGGAATCCGTGTATTTCGCGAAAACACCTTTACGTGATTTCCTCAAAGCGGACCCAAAATTTGGCATTGACTTACATTAAAACGCGTCAATAAATAGGCCTACTAATTATCGTTCATAAATTATTTAAATGAAATAAACTTGCATTATAGCGGCAATTATTATTAACCTGAAAAAGTGCAAAATAGTAAATAGTTCAAACATTGACTTTGCACTACAGACCCACCACAAGCACACTGGTTCGCTAGAATGTAAATAACTCAAACATTGACTTTGCACTATAAACCCATCACAGGCCCACTGGTTCGCTAGAATGTAAATAGTTCAAACATTGACTTTGCACTATAAACCCATCACAGGACCACTGGTTCGCTAGAATGTAAATAGCTCAAACATTGACTTTGCCCTACAGACCCGCCATAGGTCCACTGGTTTGCTAGAATGTAAATAGCTCAAACATTGACTTTGCCCTACAGACCCGCCATAGGCCCACTGGTTCGCTAGAATGTACATAGCTCAAACATCGACTTTGCATTATAGACCCGCCAAAGGCCTACTGGTGCGCTAGAATGTAGATAGCTCAAACATCGACTTTGCACTACAGACCCGCCATAGGCCATTTGATGCGCTAGAATGTAGATAGCTCAAACAGTATAGACCCGTCATAGGCCCACTGGTGCACTAGAATGTAAATAGCTCAAACATCGACTTTGCAGTGTAGACCCATCATAGGCCCACTGGTGCACTAGAATGTAGATAGCTCAAACATCGACTTTGCACTACAGACCCGCCATAGGCCCACTGGTTCGCTAGGATGTAGATAGCTCAAACATTGACTTTGCAGTAAAGACCCATCATAGGCCCACTGGTGTGCTAGAATGTAGATAGCTCAAACATCGACTTTGTACTATTGACCCGCCATAGGCTTACAGGTTCGCTAAAATGTAGATAGCTCAAATATTGACTTTGCAGTATAGACCCGCCATAGGCCCACTGGTTCGCTAGAATGTACATAGTTCAAACATCGACTTTGCACTATAGACCCGCCATAGGCCCACTGGTTCGCTAGAATGCAGATAGCTCAAACATCGACTTTGCACTATAGACCCGCCATAGGCCCACTGGTTCGCTAGAATGCAGATAGCTCAAACATCGACTTTGCAGTATAGACCCGCCATAGGCCCACTGGTGCGATAGAATTTAGATAGCTCAAACATCGACTTTGCAGTATAGACGCGCCATAGGCCCACTGTTTCGCTAGAATGTACATAGTTCAAACATCGACTTTGCACTATAGACCCACCATAGGCCCACTGGTTCGCTATAATGTAGATAGCTTAAACATCGACTTTGCACTTTATACCCGCCATAGGCCCACTGGTTCGCTAGAATGTAAATAGTTCAAACATTAACTTTCCACTATAGCCGTACCATATGCCCTCTGGTTCGCTAGAATGTGTATATAATATATTATGAATATCTTATAAACCATTGAAATCAGACATTATTGTTTTTTCTCAGTCATTAATCCGATTAAAAAACTTATATTTGAATGTACAATTTATGTCTGATACTAACTGTTTTGCTGGCAACTTGGATGATTACCATCAAAACCACACACGGGCACATCGAGAGGAGTTGTGTTCCTATTCGGCCAGTGGATTGAGACGCCAGAATCTTTCCATACTTTAGTAATAGAATTGTAGACAGCTACTTTCTGAAAGTGACAAAAAATAACGCTAGGGAAATAACTTAAGTTTTACTTGAAAAATATAAACTTTAAAGTAAGCGTTGGCATATTTTGAAATAATAAAAATATTTTGAGACTATTTAAAAAAATTAATTCTGTAAGAAGTTACAAGATCTAGAAATTTGAAATTTAACTTAGGACTATATCTAGATCTAGTTATGAAACGTGTCAGCGGACATAAATATTATTGCTACAGTAATGTGTCCATCGACCACGTTTGAACTAAAAAAACACAAAAAACATGATTTAATGTTAAAACTCAAGTAAGTATTAAATAAGAAATATAGCAGTTTATTTCAAGAGAAAAATGCTTACACGACAGTGGCAACATTATTAATTCAACACATTCTGTATGAACTAATGTCAGTTTAAATGAGTTCAAACAGATGTATAGTTGTAGAGCTCACCAACTGGGGCTGATTAAACATACAATGTCGAAACATAATTTAATCATAATTGTTTTCTTACACGTATATCTTAAGAATAAAAATTTTGGGGAAAGGCTTAAAACCAAATGTCAAGAGTAGAATCTTCTTTGGTTAATTAGGATTTTTCCTCTGCTATGGTCCGCTAGTGGTCCAGCAGAAAGTTTGAAGGATTACACCGCTAAAATCTGAGGTTCGATTCTCTGCGGTAGAGAAAACGCAGATGGCCCTTTGTGTAGTTAAGTGCTTAAAATATGCAAACAAAACGTTGCTTTGAAAGAACTATCGACAAAAACTAATAAAATTCAACTATTGTGTGTTTTGTTTTAAATTAAGGTCAAAATCCTAATAAGTAAAAACACATTTTCAAATACTAACCAAGTTGTGTAAATGTTGTTATGTTATGATCTTTTTTTTAAAAAAAAACTTAAATGTTGTGTAATCTTTCTGTATCTAAAGTTAATGTGTTTGCCCTAACTGGTTTGGAAACACCACCACTCTTCATCCATAGGGCAAACGTTGGATGAAAAAAAAGTTGTGATATTTAAAATGGACTAAAATATTTACATAATGTCTATAAATGTGAAACAAATATTTTAGTAAAATTCCCCAATGTTTGTAATTATGCGTTATCATTCTCTGTTTCTTTTTAGCTTAACGTCAAGATTATACAATTAGTTTAATCTTAAATAGACTTAATGTTTTAAAAACAAAATTCAGGTGATACTTTATTAGCTGAACCGTTTCTGTGGTGAACTGATGTTGTGCTATACTATAATAAATCAATGGCAACTTTACAAGATCATAAGACAAATAATGTCTTGTTTTTCGTTTTAGTGCCTTTAATTGTTTGATATCGTTTTAGATTACTAATGCATATCACGAACACTCCACAATATAAGAATAAAACCTCCGAACACATATTCAGAATCAAGCATCTCAGTCTTTGATTTTAACCTCAAGCTTCAGATTGATCAATGTCATTAACATTTTATCTCCATCTGGAGTTGAAACTTTTAAGTTATTTTAAGCATAAGATAAATTCGAAACAATGAAGTTTTTAATTTCAGGACCATTAAATGTTCAATACAGTTTTATGCCAATAATGCATGTCACGCACATTTTACAATATAAAAACAAAAACTCCTATATCTGGGTTTTAACCTAAAGATAAACCATGCTTCAAGATGATCAAAATTATTAGCATGTTAAAGTACAATGTTAACTTACATCAAACACTCCAGTTTCCTTGTTAACATCTTTTAATACCATGTTGGGTTCCCGATCACCGTTGATGTTTATGTACAGGTCTCCAGATGTACCTACATGGTGATAAGAGTTGTAATCTTAGCTGGTACAACATGTGTTGTAGAATCGGTACAGTTAGATATTGACGATCATCAACAATGAAGACATAGAGTTTACAGCAGCATCTTCCAGCAACTAGTTATTATCATCAAAAATTATCTTTTTTTTTCTTCGTTAATTCATTTAAAACCATTACTTTGAAGACAAGTAAAAAACAAACTGTTTAATTATCCTATACAATGAGGATAAGTATTACGTCGTCAAGAAATTAACGTCGCGTTTCGGAACACTTTCATTAATCACCATTATCCCCCCAAAAAAACAACAAAAACAACACATATCATGTATAATAGTTAAACAATCGCCTAAACGTCACGTTAGGGTAGCATATATAATGTGTAAAGTTTAGTATACTCTAATCCCTTGTAGTGATGGTACACGACGAGACACACATTCGGCATGTAATGCTGTTTGAATACAAGAAGGGAAACAACGTCTCTGTAGCCACAAAGAAAATCAAAGAAGTTTATGGAAATGTTTTGAACGTTCGTAAGTGTCAACGGTGGTTCGGCAAATTTTGTTTTGGTGACTTAAAAACTGTGATGGAAGGGGCCGACATGTTGGAATTAATATTGATGCTCTGAAGACACTTGTTGAGTCTAACCCAAGGCAACACACTCGTGAAATGCTCTGAAATTGCATGTCTCTCATGAAACAATACGTAAACATCTAAGGAATATGGAAACAACCTTAAAGAAGGTGTTTGGGTGCCTCAAGAGCTCTCCAATGATCATCGTTTCCAACGTGTGAACGAACGTTGCTTCGTCTCTACTGGCGCGTAATACGCGTGAACCATTTCTGAACAGAATTGTCACCGGTGATGAAAAATGGATTCTCTCTGCGAATATTAAACGCCAAAAACAATGGCTCAGTCCTAGACAAAAACCACTTCCGACCCTAAAACCTGGATTCCATCCGCAGAAAGTGATGCTTTACATTTGGTGGGACATCAAAGGAGTAATTCATTTTGAACTGCTTTGTCCACAGCGTACTGTCAATGCAGAGATCTATAGTTAGCAACTGGAACGTTTAAATCAAGCTCTTCATTAGCAACGCCCTTCAGTCGTCAATCGGAAAGGTGTTCATCTTCTCCACGACAATGCACGTCCACATGTGGCATGTTTGACGCAACACAAGATTATGGAGTTGGGTTGGGAAGTTCTCTCCCACCCATTATATTCTCCAGATATGGCACCATCAGATTACTTATGCAAATGTGGAAGCTGTTAAAGAGTACATCCACATGTTTTTTGCTTCAAAGCCACGTGATTTCTTTAATCAGGGCATTAACAACCTGATTGTAAGATGGAAAAGCATCATCGATAAGAATGGAGACTATTTCATTTAATAAATGTTTTGTTTTGATATATAAGTTGTTCGGGTTTTTTAATCTAAAAACAGCGACATTAATTTCCTAGCGACCTAATACAAAGTTCCATGGATAAAACACATTTGTTTAATTGTTAGGGTTGATAACGGCTCCACCTAGTTGTAAACATTTCGTCAGTGTCTTTGCTTAGATAAATCCCCTACATCATAGTTTTAAGAGAGGTAAATGTGAACTAAATTTTAAAAAATATAGGTACTTGTTTCGTGTATTATTAAGCAGTTTTACATTTTTAATATTCGAATCTATTTACAAAACGTGATGAATCTTATACCTTCAGTAACAGAATCAAAAACTCTCTGCGCGATAGCTCTTCCGTTAATTGGATTTTCCCCTTCAGCTATAGTTTTATTCAAACCCGATGCGTAGAGCAGAACACAGTCATGGGTAGCGCTCACAAACATATTAACCTTGTAGAGGAAAATAAAAAGAGTATTAGTTTTACAGTTTCTAATTAACTGATGTTTTATTACAGCTTTAGATGGCAAGAACCGTACCAAAGTCTTCCAGTGATATGTGTGGTGTGGTTGTCACCCGTATAAACCATTAAATATGTTAAAAATAACATCATAGTATAAATCATTTTGTTGTTAAAAATCACCCTTAATTTCTGCCCTTGTTAGACACCAAAAATCCACCAATATCACTATAAAACCTTAGCAAAAGAGTTGTTTATCAATTACTGAGTATCCAAGGTATTACCTACTTCAAAAAAGAAACGTTAGATCCGTTGTTAATTCTTTGGACACCAATGTTGCATAACATGAACAGTAAGACATAACATTTTACAGTTTATAGTAATAACGTTATGAGATAAATGTAACTATATTTTTGTTGAATAATATATTTGTTTAACATCATTAAAACAATCTTAAAACGTCAAAACACTTTCAAAGTGAAATTCACAAATATGATCACTTGTTTCTTTTCTTCGAAAGTGATGAGAGAAAACGATAATAGCAGAAAGATTAAGAAACAAATAGAACCAAATTATACGTACCGCTTTACTGTTATACGAGATATTGAATTCCTCTTTAGAACGTTTCAGAACTTCTTGTGTAAATTTGCTATACTCATTCTCCTCAGGCTCCTGGACTGAGACGACCAGGAGAGAATGAAGAATCTAAAACATAAAGGTATCGTACTATAAACCTAAAACGAAGTCTATCATCGAAACAGATTAAGTTCTCCTCTTGAAGATTTGAAGATTCGTAAGTGCTTTAAAAAATCTTAAGACCAATTATGATGGCTAAGAAATCTAAAAAAAAAAATCGTAAATTATAAACTCTAGTATTTGTCTTACGTTATTAGTTATCTGGTGACTTTTTTTGTCCTTGTTAAGTATTTAATTATCAAAGTTAATATCTAAATCAAAGTTAATATCTAAATAATGACCCCGGTGACTCAGTGGTAAGTCTGAGAGCTATATCCTAAAATCTGCGTTTAGATACTCGTGCTAAACAAACGTAAATAATTTTATCTCTGACAAAGTACACCCAGAATTTTTCTCATTTTCTTCCATACGTTATATTAAAGAGATTATTATTTAACACAGCTGTTATTATAAAACAAATACAGCGTCAAACAGACACATACAAAAGGATTTACTGCATACACTACTTAACAAATAATTGTTATTACTTCTTGCAACATTTACACCCGATGCTTTGTGCAAGGATTAACTGTGAACGTATTAGTAGAGTTGTAAATAAAAATTAATTTCCGCCTTTTAGTGAGCCTGGCTTGGCCTTGTGGATAGTATATCGGAATGTAGATCCGAGGGCTCACGATTCTTATCGTTGCTGCAAAAACGAGAAGGAGAGAGATGATACGTTAAAAGAGCGACAGTAAAATTTCATTATTCGATTAAAATAGCTCAAGAGATGATGATGGTTGCTATTGATTAATTGCTTTTTTCCAGTCTAGCAGCTAAAAAGTAGGAACGGCTAGCGCAGATAGCACTTGATAGCAAACCTTCCAGTAACTGCAACCATTCACTGGCATTTGTGTGTAGGGTTATTAGATCTTCGATGGTTTTGGGGATTTGGTTGAGTCGGATTCAGGGGGATGAATAAGTGTAACTACCCAAGGCTTCCTGGATCGAAAGACCCCTTGGCCCAGCATGGCCAGGTGGTTAGGGCGCTCGACTCGCAATCTGAGGGTCGCGGGTTCAAAATCCCCGTCACACCAAACATGCTGGCCCCTTTCAGCCGTGGGCGCATTATAATATGACGGTCAATCCCACTATTCGTTGGTAAAATAGTAGCCCAAGAGTTGGCGGTGGGTGGTGATGACTAGCTGACTTCCATCTAGTCTTTCACCGCAAAATGGACGGCTAGCGCTGATAGCTCTCGTGTAGCTTTGCGCGAAATTCAAAACAAATAAACGAAAGACCCCCTCTCGACTAAGAGAAAAATCAAAAATATTAATCAAAAACTGGATGTCCCATTGAAAAACAAACTTGGAACTGTGTATCACTATGACAACAGTTATTTTAGTCGTTCCATATAAACCTATTATTTTGCAATAATTATTTCTTTATATTTATTATTAAAATTCGTTATCATTACATTATACTTATTATAAATATCAGAATTGGTATTTTGTATTGTTTGTTTGTTGTTAAGTACATTAAGCACAAAGCTACTCAAAGGGCTATCTGTGTTTTGCCCACCACGAGTATGGAAATTCAGTTCTTAGTGTTGTAAGCCTTCAGACTTATCGCTGAGCCACTGGGTAGCGGTATTCTGTATACTATTTACCAGTTACTTGTGTACTGTGTATTGCTCAAAATGTAGTTAATAAGTGGTATTAAACTGTATTTGACTTATTCATGAAATTAAGTTCTGAAGGCCTCCCTCCCTATAACATTTTTCTCGAGTTCCCCAAGTTCTTACATAGCTACGGGCTTAGGTAAAGTATTCCATGAATAATAACTTAGAGTTTTCAGACTGGAAAATAAAGGGTGGTGGATTTATGAAGAAGAGACAAAACATATAGACATGAAGAAGAGACACAACATATAAACACAGTTATTGGTGTGAATCCTCTGACGTTTCACTATATGTTGTGTCTCTTCTTCATAAAACGTCAGAGGATTCATCCCCAATAACTGTCTATATGTTGTGTCTCTTCTTCATAAAACGTCAGAGGATTCACCCCAATAACTGTCTATATGTTGTGTCTCTTCTTCGACACAGTTATTGGGGGTGAATCCTCTGACGTTTCATGAAGAAGAGACACAACATATAGACACAGTTATTGGGGTGAATCCTCTGACGTTTTATGAAGAAGAGACACAACATATAAACAGTTATTGGGGGTGAATCTCATTCCACTTCTAGAATTACTCATCACATTTTACCCTGGAAAATTAGTTGTCAATTATAAATCGTTCTTAATTTGTTGTAGTTTGATTCTTAGTTTATTATTTCATTCATTCACTTGTAAAAAGGTTTATGATTTGGAATATACATATTTCGTAATCTGTTGATCACTGAAGTCATCTGGATTCTGATAGCTTCAGCATGGCGTGAGTTTATTGGTTGTATGTTAAATACAACATCAGGAGGCTAGACTGTAGAAACTAGAATAGAATGGTAATTACTATGGGCTCGATTGTCGAGATTTGCTATTTGTTCTTGTATATATTTAACTGTCTACTCTTCATTTGACAATCTAAAGTATTGTTATTCCTTGTGTTTTGACAACTACTTTATTCATATTTTTGTACTTTGGTAATAACGTCATCTTAAAGCTTTAAACAGGACGTTAATGAATTTGTCGGGACTAAACGTCATCAGACATGTCCTTCACCTCTTTTATGTTTTCTTTAGCACCGCATTGTATACTTTAGCACCACATTGTATACTTTAGCACCATATTGTATACTTCAACACCACATTATATACTTTAACACCACATTGTATACTTCAACACCACATTATATACTTCAACACCGCATTGTATACTTTAGCACCACATTGTATACTTTAACACCACATTGTATACTTTAGCACCACATTGTATACTTCAACACCACATTGTATACTTCAACACCACATTATATACTTCAACACCGCATTGTATACTTTAGCACCACATTGTATACTTTAACACCACATTGTATACTTTAGCACCACATTGTATACTTTCTTGAATACTACGATCGTAATATCTGCAATGTGTTTAAATGGGTGACAATTGTTTGTAAATTATGGTGACGTTCTTGTTTTTAGTATTCAATCTCATTAAATTGAATTATTTTCTCCACGCAATATTCTATTCCCCTGTAGATGGCTTCACATTCATACACACTTTATAGTATATTATTACTCGGTATAGATTTTTCTATGAAGTTCTTTATTGTAATAAATGCTTTTAGAAAGTTCTCGTAGGCACAAAAACACAGAAAGATCAATACGAGCATGAAATTTTGAAAAGTGTTATGAACCATTTTGTTTGTTTGTTTGTTTTGAATTTTGCGCAAAACTACACGAGGGCTATCTGCGCTAGCCGTCCCTAATTTAGCAGTGTAAGACTAGAGGGAAGGCGGCTAGTCATCACCACCCACCGCCAACTCTTGGGCTACTCTTTTACCAACGAATAGTGGGATTGACCGTCACGTTATAACGCCCCCACGGCTGAAAGGGCGAGCATGTTTGGTGTGATGGGGATTCGAACCCGCGACCCTCAGATTACGAGTCGAGCGCACTAACCACCTGGCCATGCCAGGCGAACCATTTTGTACAACGAAACTACAATACCATTGGTTTTCCAAAATATACTATTATTTATATCGTTATTTAAAAAGGCTTGTTTGTTTGAAGTTAAGCTCAAAGTAACACAATGGGCTATCTGTGCTCTGCCCACCACGGGTATCGAAACCCGGTTTCTAGCGCTGACTTAAAAAGGAAGATCCTGTTTATCTCTGTTATGCTTAAATGATTAAATTTTCTTTTTTGTTTCTTTTCTTACGTGAAGAAATATCTGATCTGCAGATAGTTTTACTGGTTTTATTGTATTCCTATTTTTGTAAGAAATTATACACGGGCAATGCTAATAATAACTCCCACTTTAAAGGGAGTGATACACAAAATAAAACAGTTTAACAGCAAACAAACATTACCTGAGAAACTGGATTGACATCATAGTTTTCTTGCAAGTCTCCCAACTGGATATCGAGGCTCACTAATTCTCTAGTCAAGAAGACGTACTCTCCCTTACCCATTCCAAGATGATAAGCAGTGGTGAGAATGTGAGCAACCACGGCGTATGACGTCATCAGTATAAACACTGATTAAAAGTAATTTTATGATAAACATGATGACAGCAAATGCAAACTTAATAATAATAAGTGCAAGTGCATGAGAACACTATTATAACAAGTAGTGCCTATATAAATATACACAATAATGACAACATTACACATGTGATGTATTTATTAGATACAGCATGTATATTTATATTAACAAGTGGAAAAATTATTTACAAAAACTTAAAGTGTAGGAATGGGTGCACCAAAAAGTGAGGAAACAAGGTAGGAATGGGCATGGTGTGATAAAAATTCCTCTGTACAGACTCACAAGGAGGCGCGTCCAACATCCTGTCCATGTATTTTTTTTCATACAAGGTAACATGATCATTTTATGCATCATTCATTCATTTGTATATATATACATTATGTATGTATGTCATCAGGGTGGGTGTGTACCATAATATTATGGTATGTGCAAATGATGGTGTACGTGTACATGTGCTTGTGTGTGGTGTGCATTCACTTCATGTATGGTGTATGTACACATTGTGAGTGTGCATGTGTGCTGTATATAGGATGGCACACAATTTATAGTGTGCATGTGTGCTGTATATAGGATGGCACATATTCTATAGTGTGCAATGCCATTTGGGTGGTGTAGTGTGGGTTGTGGTTGCGTGCGTATACTAAGGGTTAATAAATTAGTTAATTAATTTAATTAACTACTTCACGCTAGTCCCTCTGCTATTGTTTTAATTAGTGCTCTTATAACTCTGGTATGTCTGTTTGTTACATTGCTAAAAGCGTTCAACAATGTCAGTCAGTCAGTCGGGGAGATTGAGAAATTTGTGTTTTTCTGAATTTTTGGTATCTGCTCTGCTGACTTTCTAAAGTAGTTCTACGTCTTGTAATTTTGTACGTGGTTTGTTTATCACCTAAGTGTGTCTTTCAAATACTTTTGAAGATTTATTATTTGGTTGTTAAAGGTGTATATGAGTAAATACTTTATATTGCGTTTATTGTGTACCCCCTACCACCACCATTCCTACTATAAGTACTAGTGTTATTACGATAATGGAAAAATGTATGGACAAAACATTCCCTCCAATGTGAATCCTTAAAGTCATCCCCATAGAAACTCGACTATAACTGATTAGTATTTCTACTTAATACATATAAATTAGATAACTCTAAACAACAGATTTGATGGAAATGTCTGGCAAACGCTCAATAATGTTCAGTTTGATGTATAACACTTACAAAATATCCACCAAATATTTTAATAAATCCATGTGAAATATTTTATTGACTCTATAGCATCATAAAGAATTGTGGACTTCTAGTGTAGCACACCATTCATGCAATTTAAACACAAAGAACCAACATATTCTTACTACGAAAACGGTAAACTGATACTTGCTAAGATTTTTTGGTTTTCTTTTGCAGAAGTAAACATGAACTGACTTAACTGATCTGGGAGATGATGTTTAACACTTACCACGTGCAACTTGACTACACCCTTTCAAATGTTTAGCGATGTTGAAATCTGGAGATCTTGAATCAAATAATTCCACTTTTGATGTGAACTCATTTTTCCTTTGAAAAATCTCAATCTGCAGTGCTTCTCTGTAGTATATTTCAATATCAGTACTGACATCTGACATCAGACACACGTGATACCATAGAAAATGCTGTAGTAACTTGAACGTGGCAACGGCAACTGTTTCAACGTTATACCCAACTCGAATTAATGTAGAAAATATTGTTTTATCGCCAAGATCTCCACCAGAACCGCCAGCAGTGCATATAGGAATGTTCCAATACGATGCCATTCTTCCAACTGTTAAAAGTGGAAAGGTACAGACTGGACCCATGAATGCTCTTGTACCATGCTCGAGTACTTCTTTTGCAGCAATTGCCGCAGCTGGAATAGCTTCCCGTCCTGAACAACCGCTATATCCTCCCACATAGCGGGTGGTGAATTTAATGTGGGGATACATTTTCTGAACTTTTTCCACAGCGATTTCAGTAGCTGGTTTAAAAACTTTGAAGTCGAAGCCTGACGACGTATCTGTTACTGAACGGTTGAGAAACATGGCTGTTATTCTAGTTTCGAAAACGAACTCCGAATTAATACCTAAGCCTAAAATCAAAACTAGTATCCATTGAAAGCAGATCATCTTCCAGAACTTCCGAGTTCGAGTGTACTGTAGAGAATGAATAACCTTTGTTCAAGATATATGTATATATAACATAGTATTTCTGTTCAACTTCAACTTTGTGATTACAAAGACAAGTATAAATGTAAATATGCAGCAGTTAGTTATTCCTGACCATTAATGGTTCTCATCAACTTGGTAAAAAAAATTCCAGATGTCATTAGTCGTCTATATAGACGATCAATAAGTGATTAAACTACTGAACGAAATTCAGGATACAGTTTTTGTGATTTATTAGTCTCTTCTTGTCCAAAACATTAAAGGAATCATTTGACGTTATTGTTATTTTTCTTTAATGAGACATACGATTACATGATTCACTATTTAACCAAGTATTTTCTAAAAAAAAATATTTTTATTACAATACCTTATCAAAGTAGAAGAGAAACTATAATAGTTTTGAGTCAATTTTTGATTATTATATAAATATTCACTGTGAAGGTTCATTTAGAAAATTCACTTGATTTCTTAAAAACAAACATTCTGATTGGTGCACCTTTTTAAATCACGCTATCATTCCAGTAACAACAAGAATGATCTGAACTTTAACTGCAATCGTCTCTCATAACTGTTGCATTGAAGAGGAAACTACTTTGTTTCGAATTTCGCGCAAAGCTACGCGAGGGCTATCTGTGCTAGCCGTCCCTAATTTAGCAGTGAAAGAAGGCAGCTAGTCATCACCACCCACCGACAACTCTTGGGCTACTCTTTTACCAACGAATAGTGGAACTGACCGTCACATTATAAAGCCCCCACGGTGGAAAAGGCAAGCATGTTTGATGTGACGGGGATTCGAACCCGCAACCCTCAGAAATGGATACTCATTTTCATTCGTCTTCTATCATAGGAATCTAGACAACCACTCACAAGAACAGTAAACATACTTGTTTCTAAATACGTTTCATTTACAAAAACAAAAATTACTCTAGATTCTATTGATAACACCCGATAATCAATCACTAATGACAGTTCACAGTAAATTATCAATTAAAAGTATAAGTTAACACATCTTATTAAAAATTATTACAATATGCAGATATTAATACAGAGGCGTGACGTCACACAGAAGAGCCGTGGCACTGTTGAAGATTGTTTAATCTGCATAAACATACTACAAATGTACAGATGTTTGAGGATTAAAATTTCTATTAAAACTTCCAGATAATAAAGTTAAAATAAAATTAGAAAGTTCAAGTCATTTTTGAAGAAAGAGACAGCTGAACACAGTTTTTTTTTTTTGGAAACTTAATAAGATATTAGTATTTGTGTATCTCGGTGCTCAACGGTAAGTCTAAGGGCTTATAACGCTAATAAATCGGGTTTCGATACTCGTAACGAGTAGAGAGCAGGTAGTCAATTGTATAACTTTATCATAAGAATTCAGTTTACCACTGAGCCACCAGGGGCTTTTGATATGTCGAATAGTAATTTGTGTCTGTAAATCGGCACGTTTTAAGTAGTTCAGCGTTTTACTGATTGTCTTCCAAAAAAATAACAGTTCATAGCAAAAGTTTCTGATGTACTTTCGTTAATCAATAGATAATTCTATATTAATTAATTATTTGGACTAAAACATGCTTTTTAATTAAAACCATATTTTGATTATACAGAACCCTGTTGTTGTTTATTAAGCTACACAAAGCTCTGCCCACCACGGGTATCGAAACCCGGTTTCTAGCGGTATAAGTCCGCAGACATACCGCTGTGCCACCTGGGAGGGGATATACAGAAGCTGTTGTTGTTTATTAAGCTACACAAAGCTCTGCCACCACGGGTATCGAAACCCGGTTTCTAGCGGTATAAGTCTGCAGACATACCGCTGTGCCACCTGGGAGGATATACAGTAGCCGTTGTTGTTTATTAAGCTACACAAAGCTCTGCCACCACGGGTATCGAAA